CACCCATATCACCCAACTTAAATCATCTCACAATCCGACATGATCGCATTTTCTCTGTACAGATCGGAAGCTCTTCATGATGAACGATATCTTAATATGTGCTACGCCAATCACGTCGAAACAGAGCTCGTCCAATCTGTTCTATAAATCACCGAAGCCCAGAAACCACTCCTCAAAGGTACGTAGCACAAGCTACTCGAGAGGCCTGACGTGGTTGTGTATCCTGATTAAACCCTAAACTCTATCTGAAGGCCACTTGCTGACTTGCCATGTTCCGTTGTGTGGGAGTTACAACACACATCACACGAACCACTCTCCTCAGAACAGGCCCACTCGTCTCACTCTACCTACCCATAGCATCCGCAGACATATGTTACCCCTCTCTCTCTCGTGACCGCATACGTGCATTGCCATTGACACACAAGGCTATCCCACTCCACAGGCAGACGGCCGTACCTGCAAGTTCAACTGGGCCCTGGACCTGGAGGAGTGTGACTTCAACGATACGCTCAAACCCATGCTAGAGGTTACCCGTTCAAAACAGGGGCTTATCCCACCCTCATACACTCACACAGACACCGATGCCTCCGCGAACGAGCAACGTTGGCCGCTCAATGTGCTGCATAGGAAGACGTGTGTTGTGTACACCTTCCTGATGCAGGTGAGTGGGTTTGTCTTTGGGCTAGATAGGTAGATATTGTTGGGTTTTAGGGTTTAGGGTTTATATATGTCTTTCCATTGCTAGTGAGTGTATTTAGAGTATATGTGGGGGAGATGGAGATTGCACCTCCGTTCTACTACCCATGATAGCATTTCATTTACTCTCGACCACCAAACTGCGAACGTTGACAGTTATCAGTCAAGTACCGTTTCCGTAGAGTTGAGGTGGTTTACAACACACCAACCGGTTCTTTGTTTCAGTTTGGGGTTCATTCGAACCCCAAATGCCAACTTTAGACTCATCCGTCTCAAAACAGGTCGATTTTCTAGAGACAAGTTTGTGTATCAGCGCCATTCCTTATCTGCTTCTCCTCTAACGTGCTGATTTGCCGCCATTCGCTTAGACTACGCGCGATTATTCATAGTTTCTCTCGAAGAAGAGTATCATTCTAACCTCCAACCTTTGGGTTAAATCTACAGGAACAAGACCGATCTGCGATTATGAAGGCAATCCAGAGTCACAAAGGTGTGTTAGTGTGGCTACTTCTCCAGGTGTGTGCTCGGATACTACGGGCGATAGGGGTGAACTGTAGTGAACTGGCTGGACCCATTTCAACACATCTTATCACTGGCATGTCCGCCGCTAGACAAGGCCCTCCATCGTATCATCTCACGGTGCAGCTCCCTCAGACCCGTTCACTCGAGGATGTGTAGTGCCGACACGTTCATGGCAGGACGCGTGTGCTTCTGTTTGGAGTGTGGTGATATCGGGGACCTCTCTGTTCCGAATGCGTGTAGTTTCATATCCCTTACTGATTCGACTGCTCTTCGACTGAACCGAATGAATGGGCTATGAAAACACATCCTTGAACTATACGCATATACGCCATGCATTAAGTACTCACTATAATCTTTTGGTCACATTGTGCTTCGTGCGATCATCAGGTAAAACTACGCACGCGGCAAAACGGCTCAAAGACGTAGTGCGCATGTCACCCATAACGAGCCGCGCCCCATCGGTTACCCAATTGGATCTGTCGCAACTTGTAAGTTATATATA